TGGCATTTGCATATCAGTTTCATTGCTTTGGATTAAACACTGAAAGATGAGAGCCAAGAGAGCTTATTAAGCTGAAATGAGGGCAAATGATAAAAAAGTGTTATTATGTAACACTATATCTGGATATCTGTTGCTCTTTCCATTTTAAACCCTAAATTGCAATGTTTCTTAAAATTATCATTGAATGCACTGAAATACAATAAAAAATTAAAAGGTATACATACACAATGGAATACTATGCAGCCATCAAAAGAAATGAAATCTTGCCATTTGCGACGACATGGATGGAACTAGAGGGTATCATGCTTAGCGAAATAAGTCAATCGGAGAAAGACAACTATCATATGATCTCCCTGATATGAGGGAGAGGAGATGCAACATGGGGGGTTAAGGGGGTAGGAAAAGAGTAAATGAAACAAGATGGGATTGGGAGGGAGACAAACCATAAGTGACTCTTAATCTCACAAAACAAACTGAGGGTTGATGGAGGGAGGGGGGTCGGGAGAGGGGGGTGGGGTTATGGACATTGGGGAGGGTATGTGCTGTGGTGAGTGCTGTGAAGTGTGTAAACCTGGCGATTCACAGACCTGTACCCCTGGGGATAAAAATATATGTTTATAAAAAATAAAATTATAAAAAAAAGAAAAAAAAAAGTTAATGCATAAATTGTGCTGCATAAATATAATTTGATTTGAAAGCCAAACTAGTTTTCTCTACTTTGTTAATATTTATTTGTTCTTAATGTACTAGACTGTAAGCTTTTGAAAGACATGTCTCATTTACTTTTGAGTCTTAAGGGCTTTGAAATAGTCTGTCCTATAATAGTTGCTCAATAAATGTGTGTGAATAGATGACTGAATAAATCCAAGGTAGAGCGCCTCCCTCATAGTCACTGTTATAAATTTTAGGTGAATGGCTGGATGCTGTTGGTTTTGATTGGTCTTCCACTTTGCCTCTGGGAATCATCAGTCATTAAAAGTGTAAAGTCCTTCAGCCACCTATGGTGAAGTAGGCTATGTGGAGTGGGGCATGTATACGGCAACTTCTTTTGTCAATCAGGGAGTTTCACATTTGAATGTTTGATTTGGGGCTTAGATTAGAAACTACCATTTGTTTTCTGTGTCCATAGCATCAGAAAACTGATCTCCCATCATTTTATAAACCAATGATAACACATAACTCATTTATTTGCATTAGAGAATGAGCACCACTTCCAAGTGTCCCTGTTACCAGAATTATTTCATGTTTGCCAGGTTGCCTCTATTGTTAGATAATCCAAAACATTTCCTTTATATTTGGTGAGAATAACCCCTACATTTCAGTTATTCTGGAGAATTTATTTTATGGACTGTCTAAGCAGCTTATAAATACTATCTTCTTTAATACTTATCACAACTGTATAAAAAGAAGTCCCATTCACTGACTCCATTTTGCAGATGAAGAAGTGAAGTGACTTACCTAGAGCCCTACAACTAGCAAGTAGCAGAGCCAGGTTTTGATATTAGACAGTGAGGCTCCCGAGTGTCGTACTCTTAACCACTGTGGTATGAGTGCCTAGCTGAGGCTTTCCTAAGGCCCCTGAAAATGAAGTATTTTGTATGCCACGTCGTTTGGTTATTGTTTTAAATTTTTAATTGTGGTTAAAAACTCACAACATACAGGTTACCACCTTACCCATTTTCATGTATAAATTTCAGTAGTATTAGGTGTGTTCACACTCTTGTATATCAAACCTCTAGAACTTTTTCATCTTGTAAAACTGAAAAATTTCACATTGAACAGTAATTCCCCATTTTTCTACCACATTGGCTTTGAAGTCCTATCATCCCAAACATAGCACCCCAATCTAATAAAATTCCATCAGACTACTATCACATACTGTAATAAAAGCTAAACAGAGACAGGAAAACACTGTTTTATTTGCATAGATGTATATGCCCAGAACTCAAAACCTTTAAGAAACATAAATGCATAAGAAATGGGATAAGTTGAAGTAAAAAGGACAGTCTTACTGATTTGTCTTCTTCTTGTTCTTCAATTTGGCCTTAAAATTTTGTAAAAGAAAACTTTTCTGTTAAAATTCATCAGAATGACCTATGAGTGAATCATAACTTTAGGAACATTGCCTTGGCTTAAAAACCAAGAAGAAAAAAGCTGTACTTAATTTCTTGTTTCTTGTATATGATTTTTAGCCTCTGCTTAAAGAGAAATTACATTTAAATACTGATAAAAATACTATTCTATATATCTGATTTTTTATAGTAATAGTTCCCATTTAGTACTCTTGATGTTTTAAAAAGAAAGTTGTGACATTCAATATAGAGAATATAATTCTGTATTACATATATTTATGGTTATATATAGAGCAAATTTTAACCAATTAAATAAAAATGCTAATGTTATAAAATTCATGCACAGTTATACAATCTCTGTTTGAAAAAAAAACCTCAAAAATCTGAAAAGGATACTTAATCAATGTACATTTTCAATTCTGTTTTCTTTATATTTACTACTATATTTGATCCACAACTAATCTTGTGAAATAGGCTGAGGGCAGCTATAATAAGAGATGATACAGAAATAGACTCAGATTCCAGAGTTATGGTACTTAGGCTAAGCATTGTACTAGGAGCACAGAATAGAAACGAGTTCCTGGTTAAAGGGATTCGACCAAAACACAGAAGTGAGGAACAACCCAGCCCATCAGGAGCACCAGTAGTTTAAGTACTGCCAAAGTCATAACTGTGAATGGGGACATGGTAGGAAATGGGGAAGAGAGGCCAAACCCAGGCTCATATAGCCAAATAAAATAGTTTGAATTTGATTCCACAGAGTATGCACATGCAGGAAAGGGTAATTGGCAATGCATCATGACACATGATAAAATGTCATGGATGAAAATGTTTTATCAAAAATCTATTTACTAGTGTCAGGATTCATTCTGCCCCCACTTTTTCATACCGATACCTTACATTGGGTTGTTGGTTGTTCAGCTGTTGAGAAGGAAGTGTGACTCCACTTCTGAAATGAGTAATACACTATATGTTAATTAATTGAATTGAGATAAAAATAAAATTTAAAAAAAAGGAAGGAAGTCTGAGAATTTCTCTAAGAATCCCTCAAAGCCTACAAATTAGAGTAGAAGTTGTTAGGCATATGGCTATGCAGATATATTTTGTTTTGTAAAGTATTTAAAACTACTTGGTAATTAATTCTGTTACTTTGTGAATCATTCTAACACCAAACACTAAATGCACTGGCAGGCTCAGAGAAATAAATGATGAATGCCATCATACTTGGAGGACATGTAAAATGAAAGATGCTTACCAATCATCCAAGTAGATATCTGAAATAGCAAATATTACAATAAAATAAAGTCTTTTAACAAAAAATAACTATTTAACAAATATATTTTTATGTTTTCAGTAGTTCATTCTTTTCAAGCAAAATTCAATTCCAAAAACTCAGGAAGGTGACATTTTTGAGTGATATAAATCTTTATAGTTACATGTAATTATTTTATTATACTTTTTTAAGATTTATTTATTTGAGGGGGGAGGGACAAAAGGAGAGGGAGAGAAGCGGGCTCTCTGCTGAGTGGGAAGCCGGAAGTGGGGTTCAGTCTCAGTACTGAGCTGTAAGCAAGAGTTAGATGATTAACCGACTGAGCCACTCAGGTTCCCCTACATATAAGTATTTTGAAAGTATTATCCACATTTATGAATTTACTTAAATTGGGAGGGAAAGGATCTTAACGTAGTCATTTAGTTTCTTACTATAAAATGCTATCATAAAATACATTGTTTAGGAGCTGCAAAAATCATTTTTAATTCGCAGCTATCTTTAAAGATATTTTCATACCACAATTATTTATTCTTTTTCCTATAATTCCCTGTTGTCATTTGTTTCATTGGTTTATTTAAATTTATCATTTTTCATTCACTTGACCATTGTAAGTCAAGAAACTTTTACCTTTTCGCTCTTATTATTATTATCTTGTCTGGTGGGGACAAAATAATTGAGACAAAATAGAGGAGCAAGAGGCAGACAGCAGGTGCATTTGTATATTATGAAATGTTTACAAAATAATAAGCACCACATGAATATTGCATTTGAAGAAAATTGTCTGGCAAATGATATTGAGTCATATATCCAAATCATCCCTCAATTACCGAAGAACAAATTACAACTGCTAATGCATTCAGTTTTATCAGAAAGAGAATTCACTGTGTGGGGCATCTAGGTAGAGTAAGAGGGCTACTGCTTATTTAATAGAAGATTAAAATCTCTGTATTTATATCTGTATCTATATGTCTATAGCTGTACCTATATCTCTGTAATTTGAAAACCTAAAACATGTCTGTTGTTGGTGTTGTGTGTGTGTGTGTGTGTGTGTGTATAACATTTAAAAGTCCAGTATTTTTTTTTTGAAGAATTAAGTTCCTGTGGCTTATTTGCTGTTGATTGGCTTTCATGTAGTATAATTAAACTATTATATGCACTAATATTATTACTGTAGTTTATTTTAAGCTTAAATGTTTATTTCTTTCAAATATTTAGTATTTATATTAATTAAAATTAATTTAACTTTAAATTTCTGTATTTAATATATCTTACATTAACCTTGACAATAAACTTAAGAAGTGAATATTCCTATTCATATTTTACAGGTAAGGGAGTGCAGACTCAGTGAATTTAGGAAATAGGCTCAAGGTTAGCAAATTGCAGAGCTAGGATATTGACCTGATGGTAGCTAATACCAAAGTCCATTCTTTTTCTTTCATTAGAACATTTCCCTGTTTTTATATAAAAAGCACTGGGTTCTGCTTCTCTGGTTTGTATACCTAGCAATGTAAAATACTGAGATGTTAAAGACAAAGATGGAATAAATACTCAAACTCTCTACTTCAGTGTTTTTTTGTTTTGTTTTGTTCATGCTTTCCCGTTTAAAAAGAGAGAGAGAGAGGGAAGTAAGGCAAGACCTGGGATTTTGGAGTAGTTTATGTGCCTTTCTTCATTTTACCTTTTGGCTGGTTTGCTGTCTGAACACTAGGTGGAGGCGGCCCAGCTCTCTGGGCGACTACTGTTGTCAGGGCCACGGGGCCCTGCAAGATTCTGAACTGTTGTACCTGCTGCTGTGGCTGCCGCTGCAAGGCAGGGGCCTGCTGCAGTGTGTGCTGGGGATGAGATCGGCTCTGCTGGGGTCTTCTTTCACTCTCTGCAGAGTCAAGCGGAGCCAACACCACCGGCTGGGGCTGCAGAAAACTTCCTGCTCCAGGGAGGTTAAGGACAATGGCTTGCTGAGCAGATGAGGCTGTTCTCTGACTGGTTGAACCTTGTACACTTGAACTCTGTGGCACTGGCTCCTGAGGACCAGTAGTTGTGGGCTGTTGGAGTTGTGGTTGTGGAATAAACTGGTAGAGCCACTGCTGCTGAGGCTGCTGCTGGGTGTTCAAAAAGAGTGAACCTTGTGGAAGCTTCAGTAGAGTTACTGGACTGATATTGGAGGCATTTTTTAAAATAAATTGAACACCTATTTGAGGAGCCTGTGGTGCAGGAGGCACTACATTTGGTGGCCTAGCTCCTGAGGACAGGGTGCTAGACTTGATATCCATAGGAGCTGTGGTCCCAGAGGTAGAGCCCTTCCCGCAACTGGAACCCCTCCCCAAAGCCTGGGCTCCACAACCAGAGCCCACCACTTTGATGATGCTGTGGCCTGCAGAGTTGGACATGACAGGGGTGGCCAGGCTTCTTTGTGATGAGCTGGCAGTAGACAGGATGGCTGCAGGAAGCGTGTTCACTTGATTCACTTCTACAGAGGATTTCTGGGAGATGGCCACGACCTGGGTGGCCAGGGTTCTTTGTGATGAGCTGGTAGTCGCCAGGGTGGCTGGAGGAAGCATGGTAACTTGTATCACTTCTGCAGAGGATTTCTGAGAAGGGGCTATGACCTGGGTGGCCACTGTTCTTTGTGATGAGCCGGTAGTTGACACGGTGGCTGGAGGAAGCATGCTAACTTGTATCACTTCTGCAGACGATTTCTGGGAGTTGGCCATGACCGGGGTGGCCAGGGTTCTTTGTGATGAGCCGGTAGTTGACAGGGTGGCTGAAGGAAGCATGGTAACTTGTATCACTTCTGCAGACGATTTCTGGGAGTTGGCCATGACCTGGGAGGCCAGGGTTCTTTGTGATGAGCCAGTAGTTGACAGGGTGGCTGGAGGAAGCATGCTAACTTGTATCACTTCCGCAGAGGATTTCTGGGAGTTGGCCATGACCTGGGAGGGCAGGGTTCTTTGTAATGAGCCGGTAGTTGACAGGGTGGCTGGAGGAAGCATGGTAACTTGTATCACTTCCGCAGAGGATTTCTGGGAGTTGGCCATGACCTGGGAGGTCAGGGTTCTTTGTGATGAGCCGGTAGTTGACAGGGTGGCTGGAGGAAGCATGCTAACTTGTATCACTTCCGCAGAGGATTTCTGGGAGTTGGCCATGACCGGGGTGGTCAGGGCTCTTTGTGATAAGCTGATAGTGGACAAAGTGGCTGGAGGAAACATTCTAACTCGAATAACTTCCATAGAGGGTTTCTGGGAGCTGGTAGTGACTGAGGTAGACAGGGTTCTTTGTAATGAGTTTGTAGTGGACACAGTAGGTTCAGGAAGGATGCTAATTTGATTCACTTCCATGGAGGATTTCTGGGAGTTGGCACTGACCTGGGTGGCCAGGGTTGTTTGTGATGAGCTGGTAGTGGACAAAGCAGCTGGAGGAAACATGCTAACTTGAATCACTTCCGTAGAGGGTTTCTGAGAGTTGGTAATGACTGGGGTAGCCAGAGTTCTTTGTAATGAGTTAGTAGTGGACACGCTTGCTGCAGGAAGGATGCCAGCCTGATTAACTTCTACAGAGGATTTCTGAGAGGGGGCCATGACCTGGGTGGCTAGGGTTCTTTGACATGAGCTGGTAGTAAATAAAGTGATTGGAGGAAGCATGCTAACTCGAATCATTTCTACAGAGGGTTTCTGGGAGTTGTCCATGACCTGGGTGGCCAGGGTTCTTTGTGATGAGCTGGTAGTCGACAGGGTGGCTGGAGGAAGCATGCTAATTTGATTCACTTCCACAGAGGATTTCTGGGAGTTGGCCATGACTGGAGTGGCCAGGGTTCTTTGTGATGAGCTGGTAGTTGACAGGGTGGCTGGAGGAAGCATGCTAACTTGAATCACTTCTGCAGAGGATTTCTGGGAATTGGCGATGACAGGGGTGGCCTGGATTTTTTGGATTGAGCTGGTGGTGGACACAGTGACTGCACGAAGTGTGCTAACTCGATTCACTTCCACAGAGGATTTCTGGGAGTCGGCCATGCCCTGGGTGGCCAGGATTCTTTGTGATGAGCTTGTGGTAGACATGGTGGCTGCAGGAAATGTGCTAACTGGATTCACACCCACAGTGGGTTTCTGAGAAAGACTTGGTGGCTTAGAAGCAAGAACAGGAGATGGAGATTTAAGAAAGCTGTTTCCTTGCCATGGAGTTAAACTGTTACCTGATGAAGTCTTTTCTGAGCTTAAGGGAAGTTTGATGGTTGGAGATGGATGTCTGAATCCCTTCCCCAGGACTGAAGACTGACCCAAAAGGATCTTGGGCTGTTCAGTTTCTTTCCCTGGAAGCAGCTGGCTGAAGCTGGCTGAGTCGGTGGAACTATGTGAAGTGGTGACTGGACATTTGGCCTGGTGCAGGACTACCACCTCTGGCTCAGTGACTACCACACCACCATCAGTCTTTGACCCAGGCAGGACACTATTTGAATGGTCATCTGTGGAGGGGTGTGGAGAAGATATCTGTCTCTCATATCTGACTTTTTTACGTCGTCTTCTTTTTCCAGAGATAAGTGGATCCTTAAGTGACTGCATCAAGGTCAGCTTTGTCTGAGACTCATCACCACCTTCATATCCAAATACAGAATCATCTTTTATCTCATGGGCTGGCCACACTGTTGGTTGTGAGCCATCACATTTGACAAAATTCTCCCATTTAGCATATTTCTGCACATCCACTTCAGAAGGTAAAGCCAAGTCACAGGGTCTCTGTTTCCACATATCTACATAATCTGCTGCTTTAGAAATTATGAAGTCAGAATTCTCACTTGTTTTACTTTCTTTGCTTTTTTTGCAAGAAGTCAATACTGTCAGCTCAGGAGGAGGTGGAGAATGAGACAGCTCCCAATGCTGATTCAGAGAGGGTGCAGAGTACCTCTTGAAGCTCCTTTTCATCGGCCCAGTGTTCATCTTTTGCTTGTTATAGAGCAGCCTATTTGCAGTGCAGGCTACAGATATAGAAGGATCCAGACACAGGGGCTCAGCGGTAGCCAAGATCAGCTGGCTCTCAAGCAACAGTTTGTCTTCCTGGGTCCATTCCTGGCCATCGCTGGTTATGGACTGCACGTCGCAGGCTAATGTCTGCATGGTAGGGCGCAGGAGAATATGCCTGCTCTGGTAGCCCGGAGGTTCCCCACCGCTGCACTGCCTGTAGTCCCGCACCTGCGCTATGACGCACCCGCAGTGGAAGAAGTTCACCTCAGATTTTTCCAGGAGGTCCAGCAAAACAGGAGGTAATTCTTCAGCATCCAGATATTCAAGAAATTCCCTTTCTTCATAAGGCAGCCGAATAGTCTCTGAATACGCTCCATGTTTCTCTTTGAGCATCAGCGAATATCCCTCTTTTCCTGGGTATAGGTTGACCACTAAACACGGCAACGACTCTCTCCTCACGAGCTTCTCTAGCAAGTTCACGTTGCTTCTTAGCTCCTCTGGAGCCTCAGGCTCTCTCCCACATTCTTCCACATAGATGTCGTAAAGTTTTTCGTAGAGAGATGCTTCCCCACTCGACGAGACTTTCCTTTTAGGAGGCCTCTGCTGGGCACCTGCGATGACATAGTCCGCACGGTCCAAAGCTCGTTCTAAAGCCTGTTGCATCATGGTACAAAGGGGGCCCCCAAAGAAGAGAAAATTCAAATGCCTAGCAGAGTGGGAAAAAAAACCCCGACCTTCCGGTCAATATAGTCTTGCAAGCTCCGCAACTCCACAATGGAACCACCAGCTTAACTTCAAAATTGACACCAAGAAACCCACTAACAAGAAAGCAATACACAGAATTCTTGCAAGTCTCTGAAAAATACCTGTATCTGTACAGGCTGCCGCCACTGCGCTGGGCCTTGCCTCACCTCGCCTTCCGTCGTTGCCCTTGGTTAGGCCGGAAGTCAGTGCGGAGGGGTCAAACTATAGAGCCTTCGGTGCGCTTGCGCGCTACCTCACGCTGCACCTTCTGCCTCCTTGGCGGTGTGGTTTTCAGTGGTCTGTACTTCCTGTTGTGGTGCCTGCACTTCCTGTTGGAAGTAGGGCAAGACGTCTGTGTCCAGTCAATGCAGTTTAACAGGATAATAACAATAACCTTTTATAGAAAGTGATTCAATGCCATCCTTTCCCCCACTTTGTTCTCATTAAGAGTAAAGAAAAATTACAAATATAAATATGTCCTATGTGCTCTCCTTTCCCTATAGAAAATGTATGTTCAACCAACAGCTACTTTGAGAATGAATTATGAGGAAACTAATATGCTAGAATTGAGACAATAGTATCAGTGACAAGTGACTTGCCATGTAGAAGTTAACAATTTCCCTGGTGAGGCAAACAAATAATCAGATAAATAGAATACACCACAATTTATAGACGTGGGCAGAGTGATAAAAGAAGTTCTAAACATGGAGAAGTGAAAAAAAAAAAACTATTCCCAAAGGAGATGATAGTTGAGCTTTCTTAAAGAATGAATAGAAAGTTATCAGACAAAAGGATTCAAGTCATGGGATTTTCTGAAGTAAGGAAAGAAATCTAGACTGGAGCTGCGGATGAGGATGTTACCTATTTGAAATTATTTTCCAAAGAGTTCCCACCATGAGTCATTCATATTTCAAAGCTACTCAAAATAAAATTTATCTAATGCTCCAGGAAATTAACCAAGCAGACATTTTTTTTCAAATGAAGAAACTGACATTCAACCAACTGAAGTAATAGGCTCAAGATTATAAAATGGTAAGCAGTTGAGGCAGGGTACAAATCCAAATCTCTGACTGTGAAGCTTGACCTCTTTCCACTTTTTTCATGAAACTAACCTTAAAAACAGGAGCATCTGGAAACATTGACAGGGAATTTGTTGGTAGGTGCCCAGCTGGACATCATCTTACATGCAAGTTTTGTGGGGTTTTTTTTTTATACAAATGTAAAACATTAAATTACTTATTTTGAAGCAAAATTGACAACTCATGAAGATGCCCCATTAGAACCAGTCATGGAAAAATAAATACACAAGAATGGTGAAGAAGTTGTTTTGGAAATGTGTCAGGGGATGAGTGAAACAGGTGATGGAAATTAAAGAGTACATTTATGATGAGCCCTGAGCAATGAAAGTATAGAATTGTTGAATCACTATATTATACACTGGAAAATGATATAACACTTTATGTTGATTATACTGGAATTAAAATTAAATACTTAATAAAAAAAATAAGTAATGGCAAGAGATTTGCCTTACCAGATGTTATATTGTACTAAACAGTGTGTTTGTTGTATAAGTATCAACAGAAGTAAGTCAAACAGTTCGATATCTAAGAAGTAATTCCCAAAATATGCAGGAGTTTGACACACAGTAAATGTGGCATCACATGTCAGTGGAGAAAAGATAAAGTTTTCACTCAGTCTTGTTTGTAAAAAAGGAAACTGGAAAAACTGTCTTAACATTTCTATAAAAATAAATGAATCAATGATGAAACTATAAAACTACTGGAAGAAAATAGTGAAAATTTTTTAAATGTATATAAGTACAGAATACAAAAAGACTTTCTAAAAGTCCCCAAATCCAGAGGGTATAAAAGGATTGATGTAATTATTAGAGAGAAATAAAAAAAACTCTCCATGTCAATCAAGACAAAATTAAATGGTAAATGGCAAACTGACAGAATATATTTGAAATAGAATTCAAAATAAACCAATATCCTTACTATAAGAAAATTCTGCAGCTCTGCCATACTGTTTTATATTTTGGGGTCATTTTTGTTGTTTCCACCAGTTGTCTTTATACTTATACCTTTATGTAATCAATCATCTTAGTATTCTTCTTTCCTTACTTTGATGTTTCTATGATGTCAGCTTACAATATTTTTTTAAAGATTTTATTTATTTATTTGACAGACAGAGATCACAAGTAGGCAGAGAAGCAGGCAGAGAGAGAGAGAGGGAAGCAGGCTCCCTGCCGAGCAGAGAGCCCGATGCGGGACTCGATCCCAGGACCCTGAGATCATGACCCGAGCCTAAGGCAGCGGCTTAACCCACTGAGCCACCCAGGCGCCCCAGCTTACAATATTTTAATTCTCATGTATATCTTAACAAATCAGATTACTCTATATTTCTTTCTCTATTCTCTTTGCATTTTTTAGTTATGTTATTTCTACTTCTTCAGAGCAAATAATATTTACATATTATTCTTATAACTGTAATACTTAATACTGCCTTTATTTTAGTACCAGATCATCAATTATGTATGCTTACTACCAAGATTTCTCTAAATCTTTCTCCATTCTTACATTGTAAAAGTTTTTCATTCTCTATTTTTGGGAAGCATTTATGTATATGATATTTCCTGAGATTCTTTTTCTAATGCTTAAAACTTTGCTAGTAATAAAATCTTGGCTCATATTCTGTCCTTCCCTTTAGATTATTGGAAATGTTACTCTGCTTTGTTGTGCTTTGTGTTTTCTTTTTTGTAAGTGACTTGGCTTTCTCTGGAAGTTTGGAGGATATTATTTTTCATTTTATTTTACTTCATTTTATTTTTGATACAGTTAACACACAGCGTTATATTAGTTTCAGGTGTACAATACAGTGATTCAACCATTCCATACATCACCCAGTTCTCATCATGACAAGTGGCCTCCTTAATGCCCATCAACTTTTCAACCAATCCTCCCAGTCCTCTTCCCTCTGATAACCATTAAATTGTCCTCTATAATTAAGAATCTGTTTCTTGGCTTATCTCGCTCTCTGTTTTCCCCTTGCTCATTTGTTTTGTTTCTTAAATTCTCCATATAAGTGAAATCATATGGTATTTGTCTTTCTCTACCTGACTTATTTACTTAGCTTTATAGTCTCTAGCTTCTTCCATATCATTATAAGTGACAAGATTTCATTCTTTTTTATGGTCAAATAATATTCCACTGTGTGTGTGTGTCTGTATGTATATTCCATTGTGCATGTGTGTGTGTGTATATATGTGTATGTGTATATATACGTGTGTGTGTGTGTGTGTGTGTGTGTGTGTGTGTGTATAATGCTGCTAAAAACATATGGGTCCATGTATCCTTTTGAATTAGTAGTTTTGTATTTTGGAGGAGGGGGAGGTAAAAACCCAGTAGTGCAATTACTGGATCCTAAGGTAGTTCTATTTTTAACTTTTTATGAAACCTCTTTACTGCTTTTCACAGTGGCTGCACCTATTTGCATTTCCACTGACAGTACAAGAGGGTTCCTCATTCTCCACATCCTCACCAACACCTGTTGTTTCTTGTGTTTTTGATTCTAGCCCTTCTGACAGGTGTGAGGTAATATCTCACTGTAGTTTTTTTTTAAAGATTTTGTTTATTTATCTGACAGACAGAGATCACAAGTAGCCAGAGAGGCAGGCAGAGAGAGGGGGAAGCAGGCTCCCCGCTAAGCAGAGAGCCCGATGTGGGACTCGATCTCAGGACCCTGGGAACATGACCTGAGCCGAAGGCAGAGGCCTTAAGCCACTGAGCCACCCAGGTGCCCCCTCATTGTAGTTTTGATTTGCATTTCCCTGATGATGAGTGATATTGAGCATCTTTTCATGTGTCTTTTGGCCATCTGGATATTGTCTTTGGAGAAATGTATGTTCATTTCTTCTGTCCAGTTTTAAATTAGATTATTTGTTTTGGGGGGTGTCAATTTATCTAAGTTCTTTATGTATTTTGATTACTAACACCTTATCAGATATATCATTTGCAAATATCTTCTCTCATTCAGTGGGTTGCCTTTTAGTTGATTGATTGTTTCAGTCACTATGCAGAAGCTTTTTATTTTAATATAGTCCCAATAATTTATTTTTGTGTTTGTTTCCTTTGCCTCAGGAGACATATTAGAAAGAAGTTTCTATAGCCAGTGGCAAAACAGTTACTGCTGTGTTCTCTTCTAGGATTTCAATGGTTTCAGTTCTCACATTTAGGTCTTTAATCCATTTTGGATTATTTTTGTGTATGGTATAAGAAAGTGGTCTAATTTTATTATTTTGCTTGCTGCTTTCCAGTTTTTCCAACACCACTTGTTGAAAAGACCATCTTTTTTCTATTGGACATTCTTTCCTGTTTGTTAAAGATTAATTGACCATATAGTTGTGGGTTCATTTCTGAATTGTCTGTGTTTTCTATTCTGTTCTATTGGTCTTTGTGTCTGTTTTTGTGCCAATACCATACTGTTTTGATTACTACAGCTCTGTAATATAACTTGAAGTCTGGAACTATGATGCACAATCACTTGTTTACATATAAAATTCCTGTTGGGATGTCAAGGTGAAATTTTCCTCTGCTTTGTGTGAGTGTGGATGTGCATATGTGCACATGTGTTTTACAACTGTTATTTGCTGAACTGATTATCATTTTTCTGGCTTTTACCCCTGAACAAGCAATAGAAGATACTTTGAACTGAGTAGAATAGGGAGATCCCATGGTTACCTGATTCCATATTTCAAGACCACCTTTTTCGCTGTCATTATGACATGTGGATCTTACTATTTTTATTGTTGTTGTTGGTGGTGGTGGTAGTTTTTAACAAATGGAACATTTTTTCACAAGTCTGGTTTCTTCTGATTCTTTGACCCAATCTTGGTTCACTAGAGCCCTTTATTTATAGTC